ATCCAAGAGTAATCCACAAGGCACTGTAGGCAGTAAGCTAATTTATGGAGGCCTGTGCTTGCCATGTCAGTCTCCTCATAGAATTGAAAAGAAATTTAAAGTAATTTGGTATTTACTCTAACCGAGCTATCTATCTTTCTGTTTATCTAACTATCATCTTATGCTATAGTCAAGGCCACCAACACTGCTGGTCGATAAACTTTGTTTTATGGGCTGATTTGACTTGCAAGAACAAGCGTAGCTTCCTCTGAGCTCGAAGTCTTTCATCCTCATTTTGACATGGCCACAGTGAGGAGTTTTGAAGTCTTTGCTTCTATTTTTGCTTAGCTTCAGTTTGGTGTGTCATCTGAACCATACAAGCTGTGATTTACTTGTTTCCACTAAACATCGTTAAGATTAACCACGGTTCAGGGTCTGGACAATATGTGAAACTATGGTTAATCGAAACTGGAATTGGCTGTTTCTGATTTTCCTGCAGCCATGTGTGTTTTATGTATGAGTGCATTTTTTTGTTTGTTGTAATTTTTCTTATGCTAAATCATGCCACGTTTGTTCCAGTGGTTGAGAGGTCTGATCCAGAGAAACAAGAGATGGAAAAGCAGATCTGGGAATTGAGAGCACAGCTGAATCACAGTGCTGTTATGTCAGAGATAGAAGAGTTGAAGCGATGTATTGAGCGCAAGGACAAAGAGAAAGCACAGCTTGGAATACAAATAGAGGTAAACATCTCTTTAAATGATAAGCTTAGGTTCTACTACTTTTTGAGTTGCTGAAGTGTGGCCACACAAATAGTATGTAAGCCTGTGTATGAACTGCAGGTGAGAGTTTACATAATGGAATTTCACCCCATGGCTTAACAAAGGAAAGGATTCCTGTGCATGAAAACTAAAATGTCTGGGTGAAGGATAGGCTTGATCTCTTCTCCATCACATCTTATTTCTCCCGGAACATCTCACATGTCATCTGGAGGGTTGCAGTGTGTTTTTCAACTTCATCTGCCCTTTGTGAGAACTAATCTGAAGTTCTGATTTTCCTAAAGAGCTAGCAGTTGACAGCACCCCCTTCTGACTTCTCCCCCCACATGTTGGTGTGCGACGTAAATTGCCTTGCGTTGCATCAACACAAACAAAATTGAACCTCTTATACTGTACTTTCCAATTCTGTAGTCAAACTAGTAGCCCCTAATTATGCCAAATAAGAATGATTCTGTTTGTGAAAGGAACAGACGTATCGCAGTAGTCAGCAGATTTAGCTCATCTCTTCCTGTGCATGGAAACAGCCCAGATTTACCACACCATCAATCACATGGAAATCATTCTCCCATTTTGTAGTTGCTGTAAAAGAAAGTGAATCTCGGTTGGAACCATTTGGATACACGCTGGTCCAGCCACACAGTCTAACTAAGCTTTGCTGGATACCCAATTCTGAATTAAATTGATGTTTCGTTTGGCATCAACCTTGTACCCATCAACCAAGCGAAATGGAGGAGAGGCGGCCACCAGCTGATAGCTGATATCAATGACTTGTGCATTTACTGAATCTTTTTTCCAGTTTTCTTCTAAACCTGCCATGTGCTAGTTTCATAATGTTAGCACCAGTTGTTGTAGTAATGCTACTAAATAGGCATTGTTGTTGTTCATACAGTAAAGCGAGCAAGCAAGCAAGCAAACAAACAAACAAATAAATAAATAAGGGGCGGGTGTTCTGGCTCAGGCATCCAACCAGGAAAAAAGACTTTGGCAATCCCCAATGTGTTTTGATTATGCATGATTTTGACTTTAGACATGATCCACGGAACATCTAAAATCAGCAGGAGGAATTCAAAATAGCATAGCTGTCAACTTTTCCCTTTTCTTGTGAGGAATCCTATTCGGAATAAGAGAATTTCTCTTAAAAAAAAAAGGAAACGTTAACAGCTATGAAATAGCAATTATTATTATTATTATTGTTGTTGTTGTTGTTGTTGTTGTTGTTGTTTATACCTTGTCCATCTGGCTAGGTTTTCCCAGCCACTCTGGATGGCTTCCAGGAAAATATAAAACAATAATAGAACGTCAAACATAAAAAATTCCCAAGATTGCTCTGTCACTGCAAGCATTTCTTTCTTTCTTTCTTTCTTTCTTTCTTTCTTTCTTTCTTTCTTTGTTTTCCATGCTTTATTAAGTTTCATATATAACAAAAACAAACTTATATAAACCAAAAATGATCTTCTATAAGTAATCTTATGTAAATATACAAATCAAAATTGATACAATCTTATACAGTCTCTTTTGGTCAACGTTCTTACTAAGGTGTGATAGACTTCCCATCAATTCCTGGTGCATTTAAAATTTCTAATATTGAATGTACATATGATTGTTACCTTCATCTTTTCATATTTTCTAATACATTCTTAAAACGTATCGTACCAATTTTCCTTATTTCTTTGTTATTATTTTATAAAGTGGGCATTCAAATCACTTCAAGCATTTCTGCTTTCCTGGTGGAATGCTCTCACCTCTTTTCCTTCCTTCCTCCTTAATGGTCTGGGGGTTCTTCTGACCACCCTGAGTCAATTTGGGGGAGTTGGGGCGCATGAAGGGAGCCCAGGGGTAAGAGGGAGAGAAGCCCCATTGCTTTTGACCAGGCTGCTGTTAGTGGGACAAGTTAGTTGAATTCAACCATCCGTTTCAAATTCCAAAGTGTGGGCCTCAGAAGGAGACATTTTCTTTGTTCTTATTATTTGCCCCTGGTAGCTTATTTTACAAGTATATGAGTCAAGATGAAGTACCGTGCATTGATGCTGTGATATTTTCTGTGATCATAAACTTGGTAAGATACTGCTGGTGATGTGGACCTTCTCTAAAACTAGTTAAGTTTTCTTTTTTTCTTTTTACATTGTGATTTTAAAAATACCCTTGAGCACAGCTGTTACTCTTTGAAGATCAGAATGCATTTTAATCAACTCTGAATAGCAGAAATGGGCAGCCATTAGAGCAGCACTATTTAATTTGGCATAACAGCACGTCTGAAAGTAATCTTTAATTTCTTGTAATAATTATGTAATCAGGAATGTATTGGAAGCTGCCAGCTTGCTCCAAGGAATGTTAAGGACAAACCAGAGTTCAGCAATCCCTTTGTCAACTTTAACTCGAATGAGAACTTACGAAATAGATGGCAAAATAAGTAGAAATCCATTCTGGACGCAAAGTGCCATTTGTTGTAAATCTGGTTGCTAGGTCTTTAATATTTTTTCAGAGTCATACTTTTCCTGCTTCCCATCGTAACTCAGTGGGAGAGACACTTGATTGCGTGCAGCAGGTCCCAGGTTCAGTCATTGGGATTGCCAGGTGTAGCTGGGAATGTCCCCTGTCTGAAATCCTGGAGAGGTGCTGCCGTTCATTGTGTAGATAATACTGAGTTAGATGGGCCTAGTGGTCCAGATCTGCATAAGGCAACTTTCAGTGGGTGGAACGCAGTGTCACGTTTTCCCAATGCTTCTTCTGTTTGTGCAAGCATTGCAGATTTCCAGATGGATTGATGCCTCCTTTCTTCCCTCTGTGTGTTGTTTTTGGGGTTCTCCTGAACACCCCAAGCCAATTTGGGGAGGAGAAGGAGGGAAACCTGAATTGCAGAAGCAGAAGTCATTGCACATGACTTCTGCTGACAGAGCTGGTCAGGTGAACCTGCCCTATGTTTCTATGCTTAAAATGGAGTATAATATCATACTAATACTTTGTTCTCCATTTTAAAAAAATACAACATCCCTTATTTTACCATAGTGACCTTTGGATATAATAAGAGTGCCAGATAAAGTAGTATGTGCAAGGGAAGCACACTTGGCTTTTTAAGAATTTGATTCTGCGGCAGATCACTTCCTAGATGCCGAACAGTTTCCAGGAATCCAACTGTTCTGCTTAATAAAAAATATACATATTGATAGAACAAGGTTAAAAGAGCCTGCTTTTTGTATGTTTAAAATCCAGAGGCTTAGAGGTCTGTCTCACAAGAACAAATCGTATAATACACATTTTACTTCCCACTGTTAGCCTCTAAGGGAGGTGGCAGCAGCTGCAGGAGGTGAAAAGGAAATGGATTATTTCCCTCTTGATGCGACATTAAGCCGCAAAAGGCTGTGAACTTGAAAACTACAGTAGTGAAACAGCATTCCATCAGATCTGTTCTTTATAGTACTACTTCCAGCTGCAAATCTAATACGGGTCTGTGCTTTTTCCAGATGGTTTTGGACAGGCTTGTTTCAGAAGAGCAAAGTTGCCTTATGGTGATAGGGGAGGGAAGTATCATCTATCTGCCTCTGAAGTGCATGAGCGATGCACTTCCTTTGATTATCAATTTGTCATTACACAGGATGTGTAGAAGATTTAAAACCGAGATTCTCTGGATTCTGTGGGCTGAATCTTGCATGTGCGCGCACACACACACACTCAACTCTTCTCCCAACATGCATTCAACCACAGCCCATCATCTGCATGGAGCTTCCTGGCAGCTGCTAATGATGATTGACAGTACTCTATCATTTACATGTGAGCAGCATAACCTGCCCCCGGAGGACAAGTTTATACAGAGTGTGACCCATGTGATCAATGTCCTGTGCAGGTGCTGTTAACAAAGACTTCCTTGATAGCAATGGTTGAAAAAAACTGCTGCGCATTGCAGGTTTCAAAGGTATATTCAATAAAGTTGTGTCTTTTTCGCAGACACTGGGAATAGCTGTAGGGTCAGTCATTTTGGCATTTTCGTTTGTATATGCCTGCCTGCATGCAAAAGGTTTGTGTATGTGTGTGTGTGGGGGGGGGAATCTCCACTTCTGAGAGGAGGTGTGCAGGTAACGGTGCTAGTAGATTTAAAGGACTCTTGCACTGTTTCCATCACTGCCCTCTTAGGGTTTCCAAATAATTTCTCCTTTCCAACAACCTTCCTTTGTTTTCTAGAATCATAGAATTGTGGAGTTGAAGGGACCCTGAGGATCATCTAGTTCAACCCCCTGTAATGCAGGAACATGCAGCTGTCCCATACAGGGAACGAACTTGCAACCTTGGTGTTATCACAGCACCACGCACTAACCAACTGAGCTATCCAGTTTGCTTTGCTCCCACAAATTTTGCCCCACACCTATTCTGAGCCGAAATCTTTCCTATGTTCTCAGTCAGCAAATGGGGGGATTTCTGTTCATTTTCTCATGCTGTGGAGAATGAAATCAGAAATTATTTTCAAGAGTGGTGTGATAATTTTGAAAACTCAACTGCACTTTGTGTAATCCTGCACACCAGTGTTCATAATCGTACATTGCTATACAAATGCAAACGTTTAATATTTTAAAATGGCTGTTAGCATGGGAAATCTCATTATGTTCTGTAAATGATGGAACTGTTGACAAGATGGCTTCAGATCCCCCTTTCTCTTGTGGGAAAACCTTCATAATCTTAGAATAGTTTATTCTGTACAGGCTGGGTGGGGGAGACTTTCCTATTTAAGATGAGCTGGAAAAACACTGCAGTATGGAAAAGTACATATTTCATAAAGTGGTGGGTTCCTCCCCCCCTTGCCAGTGAAAAGCTAGGATTGGCTTGAGCTGAGCTTCCAGCGTAGAACAAAGGATTGTCTTCTGGCACTCTGATGTTCCGTTATGTCATCTATGGACCATATAGGGCATGGCAGAATTACTTTATTAAGTATAATACCATAAATGTTTCCGAAGGGATTTAGGTTTCTGGAAATACCTTTTCCTAAGCAAAGCTCATGGGTTGTTCCACCACACCCGCTTCCTATGATAGAGCTAACCTTTATTTTTTAAATTCTTCAACAATGAAAGTTAGAAGGCGAATGCTTCAAAAATGTGTGCACAGCAGAGGCATCAAGTTGAAATCCTCCATAGCTGAATACTTCCCACCCCTCTTTCAAGCTATGTATTTGAATTCCCTTCTACTCCAGCAGAATTATAAACGTTCAGGTGCTACAAACTTTAGCCATGATTCTCTTGTCAAGTAAATAACTGTTCCTATCAGCTTTAACACTAACAATTACTTGTTTGGGGATCACTGCCAATTCTAAAACGTCAGTTAAAATTAACCACAGCAAGTGCAGTGTTGTGGATAGACATTTGAAGTCAGACCAGGGGGACACTATTCAAATACCTGCTCAGCCATAAAGCATGTTGGCCCAAGGTCACCCCTTATCTCTTAAGCCTTCTACCTCACAAGGTTGTTGTGAGATAAAAATGGGGCAAGAAACCATGCAGGCTTCCCTCAGCCCCTAGATGGGAAGGCGGGATAAAAATGTAATAAATATTAAATAATGATAACCAACAGGATGAATTCCCAGACCATATGGATTGAAAATAACCGGAGTAAAATTCCTGTGCAGCAATTATACAGAAAGGGCAGGCAGTGCACTTAGTTAAGTGTTGTATTCTTTCTCTTCAAATACAACTATTGATGCCTTTTTGAGAGCTTCTAATTTTGCTTTATTCTATGAACTTCTATTGAACTATACAAAGCAACTTTGTGATACTTGTTGGCGGGAGGGGGAAGAATAGAGAGATTTTACAATTGGCAATAAAAAAGGTAATTTAGCTTGCACTAATGTACCTTTCAAAAGTTACCTAGACCTTAAATTGGAGGACTCACTGTACATACAAAATACACTCATTCTCTTATTTTAAACCCACGATGAACCTCATTAACCTTCATAAGCTATTCGTATTCAGAAGAATTCCTAGTATTCTCTCATCAGTGGTTGTTGCTGATTTAATCCGTTTCTTTTCCATCGTCTTGTATTCATCTGAACAGGAAATAAGCCCGTCGTTGACTTTTGCCTAATTTGAAGAAGCTTTAGGAGTGTTTAAATTAACTGAAAGAGGTAGTAATTGAATGAGTTTTTATGACTGCGTACTACTAAAAAGTGGTAGATAGCCTGAGCACAACAGCCTTTTCCCCATCTGTGATTCCTAGCAACTGATATTCAGACACATACTGCTTCTAATAGTAGAGATAGAACCTAGCCATTGTGACTAGTAGCCACTGTTAGCCTTATCCCACATGAATTTGTCTAATCGTCTTTTGGCGTCCTGTAGCCCATGCTGAAAAATTAATGTGGCTTGTATTGGGGGATTTTAAAATCATTTTTGTAATGTGTTCCAAAAATCCTAGAGAAGCAGAGGCAGGATTTTCCCATTTGGGCTTTTAAATTCAATCTTATGTTTTCCTGTGAATTCTTTCAAACAGAGCCGGTCGGTTGAACCATCTGCTCATGGTCTTGGTTCATATTGTTGTCCCGGTAATGAAAGTAGGAGAAGGGAGCAAAGTGCTCCTTTCTTCCCGAGAGCCAAGATGAGCTTGAAATCTCAATTCATTCTACTATATCATGAGAAATATAGAACCAGAAGAGAGATTTCTTCTTTGCTGATGAATATTGGTGCCTCCAACATTCCATCTTGAAGAGAACATTCTGCCCACCTCTCTCCCCTGGTGTGAAAAGTGCTGAAGACAAGGTTGCAATTATACATTCTCCTAATCTGTGTGCAGGCCTGCATAGTGGGATGAAGAATCTTCCAGCTGCACTCATGGCTTTTATGCCGGACTCTCAAGATGTTTTTGCCAGCCAGCACAGCTGTGTCATATTCAGCCTTTCTCTGTCTTGCAGGCACCTGGTATTAAGAGCATAATTTGAAAGCAATCAAAGAGATCGTTGAATGCTGTGTGTTCACCTTTAAACCATGTTGTTGTTGTTGTTGTTTAGTCGTTTAGTCGTGTCCGACTCTTCATGACTCCATGGACCAGAGCACGCCAGGCACTCCTGTCTTCCACTGCCTCCCGCAGTCTGGTTAAATTCATGCTGGTAGCTTCTATAGTTGAGTTTAACTGTGGTTTAGAGTGGTTTTACCACAGTATTCCTATCTGCGTCTCCTACACACAGATCTTGTTAATGATAATATTTAGTAAGAGGGTGATTTTAAGGATGCATCCTCCTTTTCTTAACCAGTCACTAAGATGTCACCAAGGAGGAGACAGGGAACTCCCCTGAGAAGGAGGCTAGTTCACCAACACAGGATCCAGATATATGGAGAAACGTGACTCAAAGAAGTAGGAGGCCCAGGGTTCGCTCTGATTGTTTAGAAATACACAACCACTTTGAGGTCCTCTCCCCTAGCATGGAAGACGAAGAGCAGACTCCATTTGAGGATCTCTCCCTCATTACAGTCAATCAGGTATATGAAGACGAGCAGCAAAGTCAGTCCTCAGGGAATGTGCAGGCGACCTTGGAACGGACAGCTCACGGAAGAACCCCGACCAAACCTAAGAGGAGGCGTGTAGTGGTGATAGGGGATTCCCTACTGAGGGGAACAGAAGCAGTGATCTGATAGTTATGCCTTGAATGTTAAACACTGATAGTTATGCCTTGAATGTTAAACTATGACCGGGGAGACCCAAGTTCAGATTCCTCCTCAACCATGAATCTCAGTAGGTGACCACTCAGTTTAACCATCCTCTGCAGTGTTGTGAGAATAAAATTGTATGAAATAAATTTGTACACTGGGATCTGTGGTGAAAGCTGCTATTTGTGCAGGCACGTGGGAATGCCCGGAGGTGAGATTTTCATGCCATAATGTACTGTGCCTCATGGATTTTACTTCAGACTGGCTATATTTTTAGCTGCAGTCTGACAAACAGCATAATAGGGAACTATATATATTTTAAATTCGGTAATGAAAGAGTAACCGTCAAAGTTCTAGTCTCTTTTCATAATTTGAAAAGCAGTTCACGGTGAAGCAACAGTCAAATATTGTAATAAAAGTTAAAATTTCATTAGGGAAATGAGGACACAATGTAACACATTTAAATTTATTGGCTGAGTAAATCTGAAATTAGAATGTCCCAAGACAGGTTGACCACTTACTGTGTGAAATACCTACAGTATAATTTAGAATGGACTTAATAGACTTCAAATGAAGTTATAGAAGATGCTGGGGTTAATTTTAGTAACTGCATCCTCTGTGCATACACTAGTCATTTGTCAGATGTAAGGGCTTATCTGGTTTGTGTTTTAACTTGATTTTTGATTACTTGAATGGATATTTAGGGAAAGTACAGTAAATACATTTGGTTAGATCCAGAGAAATGGGATTGTCACTTCCTATATCATCTTGCCCGTACTTTGGGATATTTGGAAGAGACTCTTATTTGCAGTCCTGGACTGCCAGTCCATCATTGGGTGAGATGTGTTATGGACTGACGTGAGACAGTGCCTTATTGAACACTCCCTGCTTAGAAGTGTGGCTGCTGAACGAGGAAGGTCTTTAGTAGGTGCTGAAAAGACAACAGAGGCGGTGCCTAATGTTAAAGGCTAGGTGCTACCACACAAAGGCCCGATTCCTGTATTGTAAGGAATGGACCTTCTGATAGGATGGCATCCATATGAGGCCCTCTCCTGCAGAGTGCAGTGATCGATTGGGTGTATAAGGGGTGAGGCAATCTTTTCAGTATCCTGGTCCCAAGCTGTATAGCACTCCAGTACCAACATCTTGAACTTAGCGTGGTAGTTCAAGACTGCATCCTTAAGTGCTAAATTATTAGTAGGCTCTCCCATGAAGGGAAAAGTTGCTGCACTCTTGCCCTGCCAGGAGGAAATAGGATGGCTGCATCTTTATTGGGGAAGCATCATATCACAGTGGTAGGGCATATGCAACCCATCCTCTTTAGTTAAAGTAGACCCTTTCCTGAGACCTTAAGGAGCCCCATCAGTTGTAGAGCAGTACCAAACCAGGTGGGCAAAGGTCTGATTTAAGACCAGGTGTTCCGATGTATTACAATATCTTTCCTTCAAAGCGGTTGCACTATTTTGTTTCATGTCAGCTGCTTTGAGCTATTAGATAAAGCAGGAGTATAAAAAGAGAGCCCTGCTGAGTCTGCCTAAAGGCCTATTTAGTCCAACATCCTGCTTCCCACAGGGGCCAACCAGATGCTTATTGGAAGCCCACAAGCAAGACATGGAGGCAACTGTCCTTTCCTGCACTGTTGTTTTCCCAGCAAATGATATTCAGGGTTATAAATGGGATAAAAATACATTTTTAAAAACTGCTATTCAGA